GACGTTTTTGGTTTCGAAACCCGATTCCGTGTTTTCGTTGAGGAATCTCCACGGAAACCATTTTTCGGAACCAAGGAAACTCGATTCTTGAAGTTTGGAATCTCAATTCAACACATCTTTAGAAACCATTTTTCGGATCCAAGGAAACAGGATTCCTTAATTTTGGAATCTTAATTCAACACATCTTTAGAAACCATTTATCGGAACCAAGGAAACCTGATTCCTTAATTTTTGGAATCTCGATCTAACACGATGATTAAATCTTGATTCCACGTTAATTGGAGTAGAAATCTTCCTTCGAATGCTTCTAGTGGTTGCAGGGTTTCATTATTTTACTTGTGCCACCCTGGATGGGCTTTACTTTAAATTTAAAATATAATTGGTAAATGCAATACATACAATTAAAAATAAAACCATGGTGTGGACATAATCCTATTTTGTCTTTATAATAATGAAATCAGAAGAACAATTCAGAAATACTTGTCTCTTGTATATAATGACCGTAAGTTCAATAGTCAACATAATCACTTTAAAATTTGGGAAACCTTCTAATAAGAGACTTCCAATATAGGTTCTAAAGTTGACAAGGCTCAAATGGGCTTGTGGCTTCCTTCTCCATAAAAATGAAATCTCAATTCCCGGTAGGGGTCGTCAAATGCATTCCATAGTCCATATTATTGTAAATCTCGATCTCAAACTGGCATGGATCTTTGATCCATATACGTCAGAAACTTGATTCCAAATATGTTAGAATCACTATTTGAAACAACACCATATCTCTGTTCCACATATGTCAGAAACTCGATTCTATAGATGTTGGAAACTTGATTCTGCATATTAATGAATCTTGACTCCTGGAGTGTCGATTCCAAGGAGATGGGAATCTCGATTCCAAGGAGGACGGAATCTCGATTCCATATGTGCATGAATAAGTTGAAACACGATTCTAAAAAACTAAGAATCTCGTTCTTGGCGGTTCCTATTGTACGGACAACAATTCCTAAGACATGAATCTTCTGCGAAATCTTCTGCGACTCCGGTTCCTAAAACGATTCGAGTTCCTAGGTGTTTCCAACAACTATGTTCCAAACCTCTATGGGATCATTTGGTCCTAAAGCCTTTCCTAATACTTCTTTTACTTTAAATATCCTAATGCTATGAATGTATCTATGACCTCCAACCTCATTTATGTCAAATGATCCACCTACTGTTGTGCTTTCATAGTGGTTGTCATTTAGCAATTTTTGAAAATAAATTCTCCACCTTTCATTGACCTTGTCATCTTTTACCAAGACACTTTGATCCTCACTTTGAATGCATTTAGCATGATCTAGATCCCTATTTGACGGTTTGAAGACATCTTTTTCACCTTTTCTTGTTCCCATTTAATGTATAGATCATCATATGGCTTAAGGTTAGCTTTACTTACTATTTTTTTAACGTTCTTCTTGGGTTTTTATATTCTTCTTGGCATTTTAAATTGAATAGGACCAAAAAACCCATTCTTTTTTTAAGTAAATAAAAAAAGGAGGGGGTAAAAAACGTAATTTCTGCCCCCAAATTGGATCGGCCAGTTCAATGTTAAACAGGTGGACTGGCTGATCAGCAATTGGACTGGCCGGTTCATCAATTTAGTACTGCTCCAAGGCCATTCCCAGTTTTTTGTGTGGACCGGGTATAAAATCTCACAGGTTCATTGGCTCCTAGTCTGAACCATCTGGTCCAGTCCGGCTCTTATAATGTTGGTTTAAAATAAACAGCTTACCAATTACTGTTTTAGGATGCATTTGACCCTTAGTAAATTTGATTGGATATAGACAATATTTAGCGCATGGTAGTGTCTTTGATTGTATGTGGTACGTCCATCTACGGGAACAACTATGCACAAGTTGGAATCTAAATTTCGGCGCATTATTCGAGGATATTCTTCCACTTAAAAAGGATATAAATGTTCTGATCCTAGAAAAGAATGCACTAAGTTTCAAGAAATGTTAAATTCTTTAAGGAATTGTCATATAGTGTTTCGTTTACACAATATCCCAAGTCTTTTGCCGCTCAAAGGAGTATCCTCCCCTTCTGACTCACAACGAAAGTTTTCCTCCCCTTCTGACTCACAATGAAAGTTTAGTCCTACTGATGAACACTATGCAGATCCACAAGATGGCCTGTCTCATCCTTACAACTATCTAAGCAATTGGATTATGACCCACCCATGTATTTCTTTACTGGATTTTGATTTACCTATATCTGCAAAAATGACAAAAGAAATTCTCATCCAATGGAGAAATTTGTTTTTTACTCATTTAGAGATTCTTGGTGTTGTGCTTTTCTTTCTTCCCTTAAAATCTGTTGCAGAATCAAATACTTTCTATGAAGCAATTACCTGTCCTGGATGAAGAAATGCTTTGGAAGACAAGATAAACGTGATTGAAAAAAACATAAGACTGGGATCTGGTTTCTTTATCTAAAGGAAAGCAGGTCAGGGGATAGATAGGGGTGCAGAAGGTTAAACTATTCCCAGATGGTGGTACCTTTGATTGGTGCAAATCAAACTCATGTCCAAGGACTTTACCCAGTGTTATGGAGTCGATTACCTTGAGGTGTTTGCTCTTTCTCTATGTTGAGAACTATGCAGGTTCTTTCTGTTGCAGCAAATAAGAATTGGGCCATTATTCCAATTGGATGTTAAAAATGCTCTCCTCCAAAGGGATCTAATGGAAGAAATCTACATGCAGAGCTCACCAATTTTTAGTCAGAAAAACACTTTTGGGCCTTGTATGTCAGCTTAGGAAAGCGCTACATGGTCTAAATTAGTCTCCTCGAGCTTGGTATGAAACATTTAGCAAAGCCATGGAACATGTGGGGTATACATGTAGCTCCACAGATTATTCCATGTTTGTAAAGAAATAGAGGCAGGTTCTACTATTCTATTAGTACTCACTGATGACATCATTCATACTGGGGATATACAAAAGGAATCCAGAAACTTGAGGAGTACCTGTGCACATAATTCAACATTAATGTAATGTATTTGAGTGCTTGAATACTTTCCGGCCATTAAGGTTGCATGATGGAAGAGAGGGGTTACATAACCCAATGTTGGTATACCTTAGTTTTTCTTTAAGGAAATTGTGAAGCTGGCAGCTAGTCGTGTAGACTCTTTGGTGGTCAAATTTCCAACTAGAACTCATTTTGGTACTTTATTGGAGGATGTTGGTCGGTACCAAAGTTCAGTGGATCACCTTATCTTTCTGACCATTGCTTGCCATTACATTATGTTTACATGTATGTGCCACGTATGAGCCATCTTGAGGAAGTCAATCACATCCAATACTACTTGAAATCATCTCCAAAGAAGAAGATACTTACGCGCCACAATGCTCACATTGATTTATTTGTATATACAATGCAAATGTTGTGGTGCATTCTCTTAATAGGCGATTCACCATTGGCTAATGCACTTTTTTGGAGGCAATCTAGTTGCATAGTGTAGCAAAAACCAAAATGTTGTAGCTCGCTCCAGTGTAGAAGAAGTATATCGAGTTTTGGCATCAACTTCGTGTGAGGTGTTCTTGAAAGAACTCCTTAAAGATATGGGTTTTCCTCTTGGGTCTTTTCACTTTATTGTTATAATCAGGCTGCCATCCACAGTACAACTAATCCAGCATTCCATGAGCACATGAAACACGTTGAAGTTGACTGTTATTACGTGCAAGACAAAGTAACTTCAAAGGTTATCTCACTCCTTATGTGAGAACCAACAGATCACAAACACTTTCACTAAAAGAGTTTTGGGGGTGGGGAAGAGGAGTGATATCATCGGAGTTACTGAATACTTCATCCACGATAAACTCGTAATTTGAGTTACGGAAAGTTACTGAATGCCTCTCTCTCTCTCTCTCTCTCTCTCCTCCCCTCCCCCCCCTCCCCCCACCCGACTGTATCTACGTCTCTACGTACAACAACTAAACTTAACGTTAATTTTAACTTTAACGTTTAGGTTTCGGTATACTAA